TGTGCCTCTTGTAAAATGACAAATTATATGTAATTTACGAATATCCTTGGTCCTAATCCTTCCTAAGCCTCTAGGTAGGCTGTGATGTCTCCTTAAATGTACATTAAGAATTAATAGAGCAAGTCAGGTTAGGCACAGAGGCTTTTTGGTACCACTGTGTTTTAAAAATAGATGGCAACTTTGAGTTTTAATGAAGCACTATGATTTTATTTTGCAGGTTTTATTTTGCACCATGGTATTGGTTCTTTGTAGAGAGAAAATATCTTATTGAATTCTCTAGCCAAAGATTAGTGCTCTAGAGTCGTATTCCTTTAAATGAATATTTGATTATTTTTATTTCAACCATAATGATGATGACTCCAGTATTGCTCTCATGTGACATAGAGTCCAGTGCATGACATTTGTTAAAATGTTGATTGCACAGAAAAATTAAAGGTTTGGGCCAGCCCGGTGGCGCACTGCTACAGTGCACCACTTGGGAGCACAGCGGCGCTCCCGCCAAGGGTTCGGATCCCACATACAGACCGGTTCCCGCTCACTGGCTGAGCGAGGTGCAGGCGCAACACCGAGGGTTTGCGACACTGAGGGTTGCAATCCGTTGCCAGTCACGAAAAAAGACAAAAAGGAAAAAAAAAAAAAAAATTAAAGGTTTGCAGTACTTTGGGAGAGGGTATTTTTGTCTGTGAAAATGAAATATCACTGCCAGTCATTTGTATGAAGGATAAAAAAGAGCTACAACTTAACAAATGCCACATGGTAAGATTTCTGATCTAGACCTTGCCTAGTGCTTTTTATAGCATATAGAATTAAAAAAGCAGTGTTTTAGAGGACATTTTCAGCCTAAATATATAATATTCTTATATAGATTAGCTGTTCTTTTGAGCTTTGATATTAAAAAATAAAATGACATTAATTTGTGAATCTCTCTCAGAAGTCTGTATTGACAATTCTCTTGCATAAAAGAATAAATTGTTTTTTGGAAACAGTACTATTTTATTATTCAGTTTTGTTTAGAATAGACTTATTTAAACAAATAAATGACTGTAAAGTTTTTTTTTTTTTGGAAAGTAAAGACAATTGGAATGGAAAGTACTTACTCCTCAAACAGAAATTATGGTTTGTTTTACTTAAATGGCACTTGGCACAAAGGGAAGGGGAAGGTTTTTTGGCAACACTCAAAGACATCTTTGGTATTTGTAGAGGGATGTTTCTTATCAAAGGGTGACAGGGGTGTAATTGCTTCCCTGAGGTTTTCTATTCTAGTGACACTGAGAACTCAGTTGTGATGTCCTAGAGGTGAAAAATACAGTGATGCATACCAATTGAAAGACAGAGATTGTCAGAGTGGATAAAAAACAAGACACAACTATATCTACAAGAAATTCTATGTAGATATGTTCAAAAGAAAAGGATGGAAAAAATACCAGGCAAACACTAACCCAAAGTGGTCACATTAATATCAGAAAAGTGGACTTTAAAATAAGGAATATTGCCAGGAAGGGAGACATTATGTAATGATAAAAGGTCACTTCACCAAGAAGCCATAGCAAACACAAATGTGAACATACCTAACAACAAAACTTCAAAGCACCTAAAGCAAAAAACTCATAAAGCTGAGAAAAGAAATGCACAAATCCATTGTACTACTTGGAGACTTTAACACTCCTTTCAGTCTAATCTATAGAACAAGTACATGGAAAATCAATAAGAATATAGAATGCCTGAACAACACTGTCACTCAACTTGACCCAGGGGATATTTATAGAACAGTCAACCCAATAACAGCAGAATACATATGTTCTTTTCAAGTGTACTTGAAGACATTCACTAAGATACCATATTCTGTGCCATAAAATAAGCCTTAACAAATCTAAAAGAATCGATATCATAAAGTATATGTTCTGATCATAAAGAAAGTAAATTAGAAATTAAAACAGGAAGATATTTGGAAAAATCTCCAAATATTTGGAAATTAAACAATATACTTCTAATAAACCATGAGTCAAAAAAAATCTCAGGGTTAAGTCGCTTCCTTTTGAATTGAATGAAATATTTAATATTAATAAAATTTTGTATTGAATGAAAATGAAAATACAATATATCAAAATTTGCAGGAAGCACCTAAAGCTTAGAGAGAACTTTATAGCATTAAATACTTATATTAGAAAAGAAAAAGTACTCAAATCAATTAGTTAAATTTCTACTTTATGAAATTAGAAAAAGAGAAGGAATTAAACCCGAAGGAAACAGAAGAAAGAGATCAATGAAACAGAAATCAGAAAAGCAATAGGAAAAAATCAAAACAAAATAGTGTAATCAAGAGCTGATTATTTGAAAAGATCAATAAAGTTGATCTCTAGCCACACCAATAAGTAAAAAGAAGACACAAATTACAAATATCAGGTATAAAAGAGAGGATATTGCTATTATATTCAAAAAAAGATGACAGGGGTTATTATGAACAACTTTATGCCCATACAATTAACAACTTAAATGCAATGTACAAATGTCTCAAAAGACACAAATTACCAAAGTTCATTCAAGAAGAAATAGATAATTAGAATAGTCCTATATTAATTGAAGAAATTGAATTCATAGTTAAAAACCTTTCAACAAATAAAACTCTAGGCTCAGGTGGCTTCAGTGAATTCTGCCAAAGATTTAAGGAATAAATAATGCTAAGTCCACAACTCATTCTGAAAGTAAAAGAGGAAGGAATATTCCCAACTCATGAGGAGCATTGCTGCAATATGAACACCATTGCAAGAAGAGGAATCTGTAGATCAATGTTTCTCATGAATATAGATGCAAAAATCCTCAGCAAAATAGTAGCAGTCGTTCTCAGCTAATTTTTTCTATTAGTACTTAGTTCCTGTTTTAAAAATTGATTATTTTGACTATAGCGCCAAATAGTAAAACCCTAACAACTAACCATAATCTTCATTTAGATGAATCAGAAGCCATGACAGATCACTAGTAACTAAAGGTGACTCTAACTGTGATATTCTGAGTCCACGTATGACATATTTCTGTCATCTGGTGGTATACTTAAGCAGGGAAGTCAAATGTGAGCCTTATTGCTTTATAAAGAGATACCTGGAATCGACTCCCTTCTACCAGTGTTCTTCCTGGATAAGATAAATCTGTCTGGAAGGAGTGATCACCACAGAGACCCACTGGGTTCTACTTTAGTAAGGGTTGGGGGGGCAGGGCTGCATGCCAAAGGCTTGGCAGACCATGCAAAGGATTTGAGCTTTCATTTTGAGTACAACGGACAGCCACTAAAGGTTTTAAATGGGGTGTTGATATTATCAGATGGTCATTTCCACCCAACTCTTCTGGTCTTTGCTAAATGGCAAGATGTCCATGGTGAGGCCTTTGAAATAGCTACTTCCATGCAAATGCTGAGCCCTACCTACCCTGTGTCATTTTAAATCCCTTTTAGATGGGGACCTGTCCACTTCCAGCATGACCGTACAAAGCAAGCACCTCCTTTACATAATCTGACTTGTGCAAACACTTCTAGATCCATGTGGTCTATGCCTTTCCACTCAAGGCCATGACACTCACACAAGAGGAGGGTATGACTCTATCCTTACCCCCCAGCCCCCCCTGGCTGGAATTGAAGCCTAATGTGGTCAGTCACCAGCATGACATTGCTTTGAACTCTTTTATTCTATCTAATTTTAAATGATTTTGTGTTCCATTCTGTCATATAAGTGCTTGATTTAACACTGAAACCATTTTCCTTTAAATTGATTGTTGTGCATTACCATTTTACAGATGGGGAATTCAAGGCTTAGAGGTAAAGTGCTTTTCCCAAGGTCACATAGCTAGAGGATGGTGACACTAGGTTTGGAATGCAGGCAGTGTGATCATTTAGTCAGTCTTTGCTCTTACTAATTCCACTGTTCACTGTTGTATCTCCAGTGCCTAGGACAGTGGCCAGGTGCTCAGTAGGTCTGTGTTGGGTGGTTCTACTGGGGAAGTCTGGTATCTGGCATTAGAAATGCAGCCCTGTGCACCTGAGCCACCTGGGTCAGGACCAAGCATGGGTGCTGGGAAACTGAGCAGAATCCATGCTGTCAGGCATCCTGCGTACACCAGAACTAGGCTCACCCTTCCTCCTGTGCATCTTTAGCACCTTGTAGCACTACTCTACTGGCCAGCTGGTCACTGTGGCCTACTCATCTCTCTCCCACTGTATGGTGAGTCTGGAGGATGGGGCCTGTGTTGAGCTCGCCTCCTTCACACATTCTGGACTAACTGTACCTGTGAAATGGGACCAACTACAATGGGGTTATAGAAGTCACCCCGAGTCTTATGCTGGAGAACACTGAGGCAGGGCTCTCACATCTGCCTTGCTTGGGGCCAGGACCCATCCTTGAACATGAGTGAGCAGCTGGGCTCAGGTGGAGCAAGGGCTGCTTCCTGCCTACAGGGAGGCAGTCAGTCTGCAGAGCCACCGTGCTGCCCTTGGGTCTCTTGGGCTGCCTAGAGAACCCTGGGCCCACAGGGGTGCTTAAGACAACCAGGAGACCCCAGGGAAAGGGAAGCACCTCAATTGTTCTGAGCTCAGGTGCAGCAAGCAGGAGGTACTGGGGCTGTAGGGCAGGGGAGGAGTGAAGTGGGAGGATGATGGGTGGCGTCGATTTTCTGGATATGGTTGGCCGAGTGGAAATAGTCCATAAACTAGAAAATAGAGGCTGTAAAGAGCTGAAAGAGATCTGGAGAGAGGGAGGCTGGGAGCTGAGGGTGCAAGTCTGAGTATCCTTCTCCGCAGCTACACAATCCCTCTCCCTGCCACCAGTAACAGACCAGACGTGTGTATGAAACAGACTTACACTGTTGGAGGTGAGTCTGTATCCTAAAAGGAATGGAGAAATTTCCATTACCTTTCCAGTGCAAGTTCTGTTATCGTTCATATCCTCTCTGTGTTTTTACCATCTGTTGAGTGAGTTTAATTAATTTTATATGTTGTATTCTTTATTTCAGAAAAGCTGTACAACTCCAGTGGACGAGATTTAAGAAGGGCTCTTTTCTCCCTGAAGCAGATATTTCAGGTAAAAAGTAAAAAAAAAAAAAGAAAACTCTTTGTTCCTGCTTTTGCATTGCTGTGGAATTAGACACAGACAAGACTACACCTGTACTTATTACAAAAGGGAAGTCGCTTTAGATTACAATGTATATTAGGTCAGAATATCAGTCAAGAGGATTTTTACCATATCAAATATTTCGAACTTAATGAAAAGACAACTTTATCAAATCATAACATTTTTCCATATTTACTAACAGTTTTTCAAAAGAAAAGGCTACTATAGGCATAATTGAAGACCTGTGTTCTGTTCCCCAGTACCAGCCATACTCTTCCCACCCCACACCTGGCCCCCTCTCTACTGATTGAGGAATTTGATGTTCCTGGTGCACATGCATGTTTCTATCCTAATGTTAAATATTCACCAACAATATATGAAGTTCTTCTGTAGAAACTATATATATATATGTTATGTTGCGTGTGTCCTACTTCAGCTTACTTCCTAAGAGTGAGATAGAAGTAGATGTGACGTATGTAGCTCTGCTTGAGGATTGCATTGTATGAATAAAGCACAGTTGTGTTGTTTATTCTTCTACTGGCAGACAGGTTGGTTAATTTCTGGTATTTTGCTATTATGAACTATGATGTTGTGGATGTGCTCCCTTGCTCACCTGTGCCAGTCTCTCTCTTGGGTGCCTCCTAAGCCTCCCCTCGATCCCCACCCTGAGAAAGTCACTGGCTTAGTGGAGAAGACTAGGACAGGTGTGCAGATGATCACCCACGTGGGTCTGCGGAGGGGGCAGGGTCGGGAGATGGATGAGTGGAGAAGACAGCCTTTTCATTGAACTTGCGGCTGTCTACGTTCCTTTTTGTTATGATTTTGGACTGTAGGGTGTATTCCACTTCTCTTCAGTTCCCATCTTATCCACATCCTTAAAAGATTTTGTCAGTGGTCGTTCTAGCCAGAGTGGGTTTCTGCCTGTCTAAGAGGGAATGGGCAAAAAGGCAGGCCCCAAATCCATCCCCTCTGCATGTTCTCGTCCCATTCTTAAACCTGTTCAATTATGCTGTTTTCTTTTTCCCAGAACAGGGTCCCTTCTTCATGGCACCATTTCTGGAGACAAGCCCACCATTCTCTATTTCTGACTTCCGTGGGTCTAGACTTGGTGCCCTGTTGTTCTGTCATGCTGCACATCTCAGAAATGCCCTTGGGGTTAGACGTCTGCCTGGGATCAGGCCTGTCCTTCTCTCACCTGGAAAATTGCACCAGCTGCCCATGGCACTGCCTGCTTTTGGGGCTCTCCAATGTGGTCCATACTTCACTTCCCACCAGATGGATTTGAAGGAGTCTCTTTCTTGCTGGTTCCATGTTGACTTCTGGTTACATCTGAATTTCTCAGCATGACAGGGAAGCCCTTCTTCATCTGGTCCCTGCTGCCCACCTCTTTGTCCTTGGCAGCATTCTAAGTTCCTCTACAGTTGCATCCCAAGAGCAAGTCATGCCTTCTCTCTTCTGCACCTCTGCCCTGGACCTATAGATTCCATCCCAGAATGTTTTGTCGCCCCACATCCACTCCTTATGTCTCTTAGCTTTCCTTCTGGCAACTTCTTCTGCCAGGGATCCTCTCTCTAAATGACCCCTCATCCTAGTCAGGGCCCTTCCAAATACTTTTAAAGTACCTTGTGCTTACCCCTAGTATAGAACTGAGGATACCACAGGGCACTTGTCTGAGTCCAGTAGTCTGTGAACTCCCTGGATTTCATCACCAGCTTTTTGGTGCCTAGCATAGTATCTAGGACCACTTAATAAACAAATGAACTGGGTGGATTGAATAGTCTTCTAGCAGATGTAGATGTTTTCAGTCTTTCCTGTCTCTTAATTTAGTTAATGTTAAGCTACATAATTAATTCTCCCAAATCTCCACTTCCGGTGTCTCCTCTGTGTATTCCTGCTACTTAGCTGAGCAAAGCAAAACATCCTCCCCCTCCATCTTGCCCTCCTCTCCAACTCAGATCCCCACTGTAGTTGGGCTGGACCCTTCCTGTAGCACCAGAGGGCCATGCTCATGCCACCCCTCACCCTACCTCAGTCCTTCCACTGTTCAGCCTTGACTTCTTTCACACCTGATTGAGTATCCAGTTGGTGACAGAACCACACAGACAGGAGGGACTTTAAAACATTGTACTTTGTGTACCTGTAGTAGGATGTACCCTAAGAACAAAAAGAACTACCAAAAAAAAAAAAAAAAGATCTACAACAATCACATTGGTGGTGATAGTGTTGGTGTTACTATTCTGAGACTGGTGTGTGTGTGCATGTGTGATTCTAATTCTGTCCATCTTAGAGTTCTTAAAAATTAAGATTCTTAAGTTAAAAACTGTATATTCCTGAATTTAATTGGAAATATCAGAATGAACCTGTGGTATATAAATCTTAAACCAACAAACAAATAAGCATATTTCTAGCTCTGTTTATTGAAAAGAACTAAAAGTAATGATGAATTCATTAGCAGAAAGCACCACTAACAATGAGACTGTGGTCTAAAACACCAGAAGGAACCAGAGCTCCTTGGAAAAGTGGCTGATGCCAAGTTGGGAGAAGGAAATATCATAGAATAAACTTGAAACATCTTGTCAAACAGAGAGCAAGCATACTATTGAATACTGCTAGGATTATCGCCAAAAGATCTCAGAAGCAAGTTGAAGGGTCTCCCACTGTCTGGCCAAAGATGGGGCAATAGGCATCAATAAAGACAATAATTGCAGTAGATTGAAACATATCAAATAAGTTTGAATTCGGTTCATAATGAAACTAAAAAATAACAATGGATTGGCAAAATGAAGGCAAAATATACTAATAAACTAGCTCGTTACTGGAAAATGCTAGTGAACTAGCTCATATTTTGAAAATGGGTGAATAGTTTTAGAATCTCAGGTTTATATTGCCTTTTCGTATATGAACTTTAGGATATCAGACTGAAGTTGAGGGGAGATCTTGTTTATAGAACTATTCTAGCTAATAAGAAGGAGTAATAGAATTAGAGTATCACTATTTGCAGCCCCTAATGAATGAATGGATCAACATACTGATCATCAAGGGGTCCTGATGTGACAGAAACAAGATATACCCAGGTATTACACGCCTCCTGATGGAAATACAAATTACACTGATGATGTGGTCAAGCCAACAAAATCAACTCTGGGTCCAGTCATGCCTCAATATGCAGTTTATAAATGATCTAGGACAGAGGCACATGCTAAACACAGGGTGTAATCAATAAAATCCAGGCTGTGGGCAACTCTACAGGACAAATGACCTGGTTTCTTCAGCACATAAATTTCAAGGAAAAAAAAAAAGAGAGAACAAAGGAGAGAACCATGAATTAAAAGATGTTTGAGTCATATCAACTGATTGTTTTGTATAGATCTTATTTGGATCCTAATAAAACTGTAAAAAACAATATTTATGAGACAGTTGGAAATTTGGTCACTGATTAGACATTTGATAATATATTTAGAGAGTATTAATTTTTTATTATAAGTACACATTGGAATGTTTATGGATTAAATGATGTGATATCTGAGATTTCCTTCAGATAAATATGGTGGGGGTTGGGGAGGATGATAGATGAAACAGGATTGGCACAAGTTGATTGGCACCTGGGGTTCACCAGACTATTCTGCTGTCTTATGTGTATGTTTAAAGTTTTTTAAATTGAAAAAGTTAAAAACAGAACAAACATGTTTAGATTCTTGTTGCACATCACTTTAACCAAGCTCACTAGTAGTGTGTGTCCTTTGAATTCTCAGGGCCACCATTTCTACTATTTATTCATTAAATTAATGTTTTTGAATAACCTTGCTGGTGCTCTGTAGGCAAGGAAGAAGGTGTTCACTACCAGAAGTTTATAGTCTGTTTGGAAGACCACACACATATGCACAAAACAGCACTCAACCACAGGGCAGCGATGCCTGGGGGATTAACCGGATTACGTAGGCAGCAAGCTGTCTGGGGCTTGGATTACCACCTTGCATACCCGTGGGTCCCCATCTCCATCATTGCTTGTGTTTTCTAGGCGTGGAAGTTCTTTTTGAAACTAGACTGTAAGGGCCTAAAAAACAGAGTCATTAGTCGTCTGGATTGGGTTGAATATTCCTTGACCAAAAGGCATTAAGAAAAAATGATCACTGGTTAATGAATGGCTATTGTAGAAAATTCTGAAATGCAGCAATAATCATTTATCAGTTAGTGTTAACATTTTGTTTTCATTTCTAGTCTGAAACCAGCAGTTTAAAACTCATATATTAATGCCTATATATTTTAGGATATATATTTAAGATCTAGTATATTACCAGTTTGGAAGATTTTTCCCACATTTATTATCCACAAAATTCTCTTTCCTAAGTGCCTTATCTCCATATGTGCATAAATTTTAGTTAAGGTTCTGAATTATTTTTATAAACACTGTCTCGCCTCTCCAGTGTTCTTTCCGAGTGCCTTTGCCAGACAGTCAATTCTCTGCTATATTAATATTAGTGATTAGTTTGAGTGGTTTCTTGAGAGCTTGTTCTCACTTTTTCACCATGAAGTCATGTGTGAATCTAGTTTTAGTTAAAGTAATAAACATTTGTTACACGCTTGGAAAAACTTTCTGACTAGACATGAGCTCATCTAAATGTTCACTTTTCACATATGCTGGTGGAAAAGGATATGGATGGAGAAAGAATTATTTTTTATTTCCTTTATACATATGAGTGTAAAGTAATTTTCCAAAAACTCGTGATATTGTCCCATTTTCTTTTTCGTCCAAAGCCATGATTATCTTAAAGTCTGAGTTAACACAGCTGTCTCTCATTACTTTCAGGGCCTTGCTCACCCACCCTCCCCCCAAGCCGGCTCTGACCCTTTAGCGTGCTTTCTCAGTTCAAAGGGAGCCTTTGCTGTGCCTGCCCACATTTAGCTCAAGTCCCCCATCAATATAATTGGAAAATGCCATAAAATCAAAATAAGGGGCTGATTTCATGTAGGATCAGAGTTATGCCAGTTCACCGAAATTATTTTTTCTCTTTTGGAGATAAACCATGGTTGCTGACTATTCCTATAATAATAACCTGCCATTATTCCATTAAGCTTTCTACTATTTACATCACTGAGGTTTTTTATTTTTGCTCTGTTGTTATAATTTAAGACGAATGTCCCAGCCTTATCCTAAGTGCGTTTGAGACAAGGCACTGTCCAGCTGAGGAAATTTCCCAACTTCAATCGAGGAAAACAGTGGTGGAAAAATCCCTCTCATAGAGCTCCACAGCACTTGGTACTACAGAAAAACGACTGGGCTTGGGGGCTGGCCTGATGGAGTTAAGTGATCTTGGCCAAATTTGTTTGCCACTCTTGAGTCTCCATGTCTTTATCTGCAAAGAGAAAATAATATCAGATCAGTGGTTCTTGAAGGAGCTGTTCTTCAGGATTTCCTAGGGAATTTAATAGCAGAGGCTGGGTCTTACCCTGGAAATTCTAATTAAATCCATCTGGGTAGGGTCCTGCTTGCTATCGCTTTTTTTTTTTTTTTTTCGTGTCCGGCAACGGATCGCAACCCTCAGTGTCGCCCCCGTACCGGACCAGGACTGGCAACGGGATCGCAACCCTCGGTGTTGCTCCCGC